TGTATTTTTTTCATAATTTTATTGAGAAACCAATAGCAATGAGACAGTTTCAAATCAAATTGGTAGGACAGTTCCAATAATTAACACACTGCATACATTCTTCCTAGTGGTTAATTGCTGTACAAGATGTGGACATGATATCCTATTTACAAACACCATTAGAACAAATCCCTCTATTCATTAAGAGAATGTAACTATATATCTATCCTAATCACTTTGAATACACAGATACAAATTGGACATTCATCTGTATCCCCTTTTTTGTTCCATCATTTGAATATTATAGGTGTATAAACTCAGCAAAATAATCTAAAAGAGTCCAGTAGCCCATAATAGTATTGGGTCTTCTGCTTCACTGGCAATGTCAGAAGTTGTTAACCTCAGTCCCCTACAGCTCAACATAACACCTTGGCTTTACTTCTTATACTTCATTTTTATACTTTTCTGCTGGATGGTTAAGACCACGTGTATCTTTTAAGTTGGATTTAGACGCACTGTACCTGTCTCTTCAGACATATTTCACATTAATGTTTTCCTCTGTGAAAACTCAATCCTCTCAGCTCCCTGAAGTGTTTGTACAGCACTGTCCCTTAGCCACTCTGCCCTCTGCACTTGCCACTGCTGACTGCACCTCTGGCCCCATTGCTGTCTTCCTGTCGTGACCCAGCCCCTCTGCCCAGCCTTGGGGACCACTGTTCTGCATTCAGCCTCTGTGAGATCCACATTTTTCTGTTTTTAGAGAGTCTCTCTGTGCACTTCAGGCTGGCCTTGAACTTGCTATGTAGCCCAGGCTGGCTGCAAGCTTGCAGCAATCCTCCTGCCTCAGCCTCCTCGGTGCTGGGGTTATAGGTATGCACCGCTGCACCCAGAGTAACCTTTTCACTTTTTTTTTTTTTTTTTGTGGAACCGAGGATTGAACTCAGGCCCTTGCACTTGCCAGGCAAGCACTTACTCTACTGAGCCATCTCCCCAGCCCCACCTTTTCACTTTTATCTATTTATTTTTGCGGGGTTTGGAGTCACGCTCAGGGCCTCGTTCATCTAGGCGCGTGTTCTAGCACTGAGCTGTGTCTCCAGCCCGATCGTGCTCAGACTCCAAATGAGCGCCGTCGTGCAGTATTTATCTTCCTGGCGTTTTTCACTGATCTCTAGTTCTGTCTTGTCACAAATGACAGCGTTTTATTTTCTCTGCAGCGTGGCTGACTGAGAATACACCACACTGTCTTTGCCCACCTCAGCTGGTGCGCACTTCGTGCTTTTCTCGCTGGTGTGGTGTCTTCTATGCTCGTGCGTCTGGGGTACCTCTGCAGCCATCCTGTGAGCTGGGACCCCGGTTCCCCGCCAGCAGGACATGGGCGCCCCTTGCTCTGTCCACAGGCGCATCGTTCTGTGGTCTTTTTTGCTGCCGCTTGTTCTGAGGCAGAAGTGGGTATCTTAGTGTGCTTTTGACTTGTGTTTGCATGGTGATTTCTGATCCTGGGCATTTTTTGGTGTACCTGGGGTCCTTATATGTCTTCTTTGAAAAGATCTACTTTGTTTTTTTTTTTTTTTTTTTGAAAAGGTCTACTTTGAATGGATTGCACATTATTTCACTGAGCTTTTTTTTGGCTATGGAGTTTCCTAAGTTCCTTAAGTATTATGAACAAAAAACCCTTTTCCAATAGCTTGCAAATATTTTCCCCAAAGAATAAAAAATCTGCTAATAATTAGAACCCTTAGTGGTTAGCTTAATAATTATGGTGCTAATTATTCTGTTTTATATGTTAAAATGTTACTGGAAATATAAAGAAATCATTTCCACCTAGTTTCATTGTAACTGCTTAAAAATCTCTCTTCTTCACTCTACTCTTCACCAAGGCATGGACTATCAAGGCCAAGGGAGAAACCGCTGGCGATGGAGTTGAAGCAAAGAAGCGGAAACGTGTGGGTGATGAGTCTCACGACGAGGAAAACCAGGAGGAGGCAGCGAAGGAGAATCTGAATTTGCCCAAAAAGCCAAAACCTGTAGATCTTTCTGCTAATCAGAAACTGTCAGCCTTCGCTTTTAAGCAGGAGTGAATGGCGGAAGTGGCCTGGGGGGAGCGGTGACAGTTCTGCTCCTCCGTGATGAATCTGGACTTTCTCTCCATCTTTGTCGTTGCCTTATACTGTAGGTTGCTACAGAGCTACAGGAGGGCTCTCCTCTGTACAAGATAATGTAGCAGTCTGCGGTGCTGCTGGCTAGAGCGCTGCTTAGCACAGGTGCCGCCCCGAGCTTGACCCCAGTGTCGGGGGAGAAAGTGTGGAAGTGACGCACTTCAGGGACAACAGTCGTCATGGCAAGTTATTCTGCCCTGGGATGGAGCAGAACTGTTCTGGTTGTGGTCATTCCTCGCAGACCACCATCACGTCCCACTGCCAGCCAGTTCGGTTGGGTTTGTTTCTTTCTGAGGCAGAGGCCAACTGTGTTGTTCAAGCTGGCCTTGAGCTTGCAGCAGTCCCCCTGTCTCAGCTTCCTGAGTGCTAGAATTACAGCACTGTGCCTCAGTTGGTTATTATTTTCAGAAATACTCAAAATTGAGGTCCTAACATGTCTGCACATTGAAGTATCTTTGGGAATTTACTAATTTGATATATGTCAAGTTTGGGGGAGAACCAGCCACTGCTCCTCCAAGCGTGGTGCCAGAGACTCTGTTGTGCATCTACAGAGACCTGAGGACGAGATTTCTTCTTAAATATGAGCCTTAAACCTGTAAATAATCCGTAGATGAGGCTTTTTCTTTGTTGTGTCTTGGAAATGTGTTATATATTGCTGTCAATTGCCTGTATAGTCTTTTTTTTTTAGGTAAATAAAATGTTCTCATTTTCATTTTTGGCTTAATATGGTGTCCACGTTGTCTTCATGAGGTGGAAGTGTTTCCAGAAAGTGTGTGCCCTGTTTCCCCCTTGAGTTCACCATGCAGCCCAGGCTCCCAATGGGTCCCTGGATTCCTGCACCCCAAGATGGAGTTTTAAGGTGAAGTTTTCCTTTTGAGAAGAGTGGCATCTCCAGGCTGCCTCAGGCTGGTGGTGTAGCTGTTGCGTGTCCCCAGCCCAAGTGATGGAGCGTTGGTGTAGGCCTGGGAGATCAAGGTCAGTTTCATGGGAGCAGGGAGGAGGTGCAGGCTGAGCTGGCCTGGACAGGTTTCCAGGAGAGCCCAGCGGCCCTGCACATGCTGAGCGGTGTTGGGAGCAGAGGCCCTTCCATGTTGGAGCTGGCTTCGGCTAAGTAAGTCCTTTGTACCCCAGTAAATGGCCTCCGACATCCCAGCCCATCTTTGTATGTGGGCCTGTGTGGCCAGCTGTGATGAGTAGTCCGAGTTAGGGAAAATATTTATCTTTGATTTTATTTTGAATCAACATGGTGATTCAAAATAACCATGCGCTTTGGCTGTTAGGGCAGAGATGAGTAGAACAGCAGTGTGGTCAAGTAGAGGTGCCAGGGTGGTGAGAGAAAAGCTGGCTCAAAATTGGGGATGGTTCGTGGGTTTAAAGCAACAAAATTTGTCGAAAATGTACATAGAGATAGTCCTTATCCCATGATGATTAAGGTTAAGAAGGATCTATTTCTGAGTTTTTAAATTAATACCTGAAATTGAAAGTTGTTATAGCATGATCAAGCTTGAAAACTCACTCGGTAGGGTAGGTGACGGGGATCGGGACGGAATCCTAGGTCTCGGTGAGCTACGAGCACACAGTGGTAGGGAAAGGCAGTTTATAAAGGTGGCAGCTGCGAGTGGGCTCATGCCCCGGAAGGGGAAAGGCATGAGCGCTGAGATGGGAGGTGCGGGGGTGTCCGATGCTGGGCTGGCGTGGGACACTTCCTTTGGGCTTCTGGAGGGTGGCTGTCAGGGTGCTGTTGTGTCCACTGCACCTGGCACGTGTGTCCTTTCCCAGATTCTACTGTCATCACTGAGGTGTGGGCTGCAGTCCAGCTACATGAACTTGGAGTCAGCGCCAGGTTAGAGGCTGCTGGGCTTATTGGTATGTTTACATCCTGGCCTGGAATTTTGGAGTTTTCCAAGGCAGCTTGGGTCTTTGGTTTTTTCCTCACTGTTTCAGTGTGCTGAGCCTTAGGATGGGGTGGGAGTAGTCCTTTAGCCCCAGCTGTATACTCTGTGTCACATGCTATGGCTAGGAACCTCAGGGAAGTCCAGCCTCTGTGCCCTCACCTGTGAAGAGAGTAGAGACACATCTGTCACAGCACTGTGCAAGACCCTAAAGTGAAGGTTTATTTATACTATTTTGAAAAGCGTGTTTGCAGATGTGTGTTTCGTTGCCTCAACTTACTGTGCTGATATGTAATTCCTAAGTATGTGTTATGGTTTGTGTCTAGTTGTCCCTCCAAAGCCTCATGCAGTCATGGGGTAGACTTCTAGGCTTCGTGACTAATTCATGATCCAGTGCTGGGATTATGGGTGTGAGGGCTGCACTTGGCCTGAGGCGGATAGCTTGAATGCAGCGTAAGGGACACAGACTGGCTCTTGCCATCGTTGCCACTGCTCCTGCTATTTTGCTCTTGCTGTTTTGCTGTTTTCTGCCATGAACAGCTGCCCTCTACCATGTGACACTGCCTTGGAGCCAGCTGAGTGTGGACTGAAACTTCCACTAACTGTGAGCTAAATAAAACATTCCTTCCTTAATGTTGGGTGTTGGGCATTTTGTCCCAGCAACGAGAGAAAAGTAACTGAGACGGAATTTGGCACCGAGAATGTGGTCATTGCTGTGACTAAACCTGACTACGTGGATTACAAGCCTTTGGGAATGGCTTATGGCAAGAGAGAGGAAGGGTTTGGAGATGGTGCCTACAAGAGAAGCGCTGGAACAGCTTCCGCTGTTCTGTGTGGGAAATTCTGGTCAGATCCCAGAAGACCAGAATGCTGAAATCCTACCTGTAAAGACCAGGCTGGGGAGGTTTCTGCTGGGAAGAAGAACCACTTTGGTTGTTGGGCTCCAGACGATTTGTGTTATGGCTTGGCAGAAAGTTTGTCTGCTTTTGGTTTGTGTCCAGAGACTGCCTGAGACTGAGATTAAATGCAGTGGACTAGTTAATCTGACGAAGGAAATTTCAAAGCAGTCAAATGTTGAGCAGTGGCATGGCTATTGTTTGGGGCTTTTAGTCACATTTATGTATGTAATCAAGAACAAAGAGCCCAGCAGGAGGATTTAAAATGTGAGTTTGGCTAGAAGGGAAGCTCTACTAAAGCGTGGACTGCAGAGACAGAGCTAAGAGGATTTCCATTGCCAGGAAGGAACCAGAGAAAGAAAAGGATGGCCTGAGGGCATCACAAGAGGTGGTAGGTCTCCACTCTTTGCATCCTCAGAACTGCAAAGGTGAAAGATTTTGCTTTGAGAGAAAGCTGCAGAACGCCATGTTCCAGAATGGTGGTGGCAGCCATACCAGATTCCAGAATGGTATTGGCATAGAGAATTTGTTCCCTGGAATCAGGGTCAGAGTGCTCAGCTATCCAGGCACTCGAACCCTATGGCCAAGAGAAGAAAACCTGGCTACTGCTCCAGCCGGCTGTAGACCTTGGCATCGTCCACGTGGCATTGGGTATAGGTGCTTGCAGAATTTAAAAGTTACGAGGTTAAGGCTGCCACCTCAATTTCAGAAGGTCTGGGAGACCAGACAGTGTTCCCCTGCGAGGGCAGTGTGTGAAGGAGAGAGTGAGAAGGCTAATGTACAGTGGAGACTCCAGGAATTTGGAAAATCCAGGAACGTGGATTGTCAAAGAAGAGCTGCAAGGGGGGAGCATTACAGGCCGAAGAGAGAAGCCCTGGGAGCTACCACCGGAAGTGCCAACGGGTGGAGCCGTGTAAGGGGCCTTTGGCGCTCACAACTCATCACAGATTGCTTCAGATGTTCCACATGTAACTGCAGGATTTAATGTTCGCCCTGCTGGATTTTGTACTTGCTTTGGTCCTAATGCTTTGTATTCTGTTGTTTGCACCTTTTGGAATGGCAATATTTTTCTTGCATCATTGAACATTGGAAGTGTTTAGCTTTTCATTTGTACAGGGGCTCCCAGCTGCAAGTTTACTTAGATCCTGGAGAAGACTTGGGACTTGGACTTTGGCAACTCTTAGACATGCACTAAAATGCCTTTTGCACATCCACGTGGCATGGTACATGAGTCTTTGGAGTCCAGGGGCAGAATGTTATGTATGATTTGTGTCTAGTTGTCCCCTCAAAACAAAATAAAACAAAAAAGCCTCATGTAGTCATGGGGTGGATTTCTAGACTTTGTGATTAATTCTTGACCCAGTGCTGGGATTATGGGTGTGAGTGCTCCACCTGGCCTGGGGCAGACAGCCTGAGCGCAACATGAAGGACACAGACTAGCTCTCTTGCCATCGCTGCCCCTGCTCCTTCTATTTGGCTGTTTTCCACCACCATGAACTGCTGCCCTCTGACGTGCACCATTCTCTCTTGGAGCCCAGCTGAGTGTGGACTGAAACCTCCACTGACTGAGCTAAATAAACCTTTCATTCCTTAATGTTGGGTGTTCGGTTCTTTGTCTCAGCACCATGAGAAACATAACCGAGAGCGTACATAATCCTTGAGTATTACGTTTGTCTGTGTGTGTGTGTGTCTCTGTAAATACACATATATAAAAGCACTGGTGGAAAAGACCTTCCTTTCACCAGGAAGCCTCCAGTTACAAGCTAGGAGACAGTGCTGGTAAGGAGGAAGCCACACTCCCGAAGTTGGTTGACAGATTCCATGCAATCCCTGTCAGAACTGCAGTGGGCTTTTTTTTTTTTTTTTGCAGAAGTTGCCAAGCTGATCCTGAAATTCAGAGAAAGTCTAGGGACCTACAGTAGCCAAAACAGTCTGGAAATGAATTT